GAGATGAAAGGCTATACAATGTGTTCAACATAATGACTTTGTTCGACTTTCAATCACAGTGGTGAAATGTTTTAAAAAAAATTAACAGGGTCTTTTAAATGAATTTTAATCATAAATACTGATATTTTGCCTGTAGCTTTATTTTAGATCACTTTTAAGGTTACAAGTGTGAGTTTTATACCAGGTGAGCGATGCAGGCCCATTGGGCCTCTTGTTCTAAATGCGAGAAATCGAACATATGTATACATCTTTGTGTTGATTTTTATAATAAGGTGTACAAAGAACCAAAAAAGATGGGGCTTGCTTCAAAATAAACGCACCATTTGTAATTAAAAGATGTACAACAAATGAAACAAAATTTAAACCAAAGATGTGCAACAATTGCATTTTTACACAATAGTACATAGTGCAAGAATACAAGTTAGTGATACAGTATAGTCTGTCCAATACAGATTTTTGACTAAAAAGGCAAAATAGTTTGGTTCTGCAAACTAGCTCAATAATGTGGTCCCAGGGGTGTCCGGTTTAGACAGAGCATAGAACCGAATAAAAGTGATCATGTAGCAAGATTATACATACACGTATAAACAGTATATACGTATCTTAGTCTAGGTGATATTAGTGTACATAATGAAAATCAATAGCATACGTGTGCAATCAGCATCAAATGAGAAAAAAATAATATGACAAAAAAAATACACATTGCACAGAAATAGATCAGAACATCTCACATCTACAAGAAGTAGATACCAAAATAAATTGGTTTACGATGTACAGTAGGCCCTTATATGGACACAAGACTTACCACCATACTTTACAACAGAACATGTTTGTCCTTTATAGGTCAATATATGTCGATTTCCTTGTGTTTATATTTACACTCCTAATAAATTTGCCCTTTTTACGGTTGCCAAAGACAGAAATTTAACTGCCACAAAAAAACCCACCTGGCATACACTATGTCTGGTGTATGATAAAAAACTTCAGTGTTATGGTCCACTATCCTTGCTTAAACAGCTTTGTGATTGTGCTAAATCGCTTCCTGTATAAGGATCGAATATATATATATTAAAGCCACATTTACTATTGATGTATAATTTTGAGCGTCTTTGGTAAAGTTACATTTATTAAAAATATTTCTAGTTTTGATAAAAGCACAAGGATTTTTTTCTGGATAGAATTAAGTCAATTCACCTTGTAGGAGAGCTTGCAACGAACAACACACTTAAAAACATTTTATAACTCGTAAAAACCAACTTTAACTAATGTCGGCATCAAAACATTAAACTTATCTTATGCTATCTGTCATGTTTCTGGAACAGATGTATGAACCCCCATCCCACCCCGCCACTTTTTTTTTTTTTAATTTGTGGGCCCCTGATTACTTTCACAGGTCAACTGACAAGCTTCTATTAGTGTACACCCTACGAAAACAAAACTGTAAGTACAACCCATTTCATGGGAGCTGAAAGAAGGAACCTAATGCAGGACAGGTGTTGCTGAGAGCAAGAGCCAAGATTTGGAAATAGTTGCAGTATCATATATAATAAGATTTTTTTTGCATGGTTACTTGACTATCCAGGTGAGCAATACAGGCCCTCGGGGCCTCTCGTTTAATTTGTGGGCCCATGTTAACTTTAACAAGTCAACTGACAAGGTTCTTTTAGTGTGAACCCTCGGAAACAATTTCTGTCTTCAACAAACTGTAAGTGACCACCCTCGGAAACCATTTCTGTCGTCAACAAACTGTGTATGTGACCACCCTCGGCAACCATTTCTGTCGTCAACAAACTGTGTATGTGACCACCCTCGGAAACCATTTCTGTCGTCAACAAATTGTGTAAGTGACCACCCTCGGCAACCATTTCTGTAGTCAACAAACTGTGTAAGTGACCATCCTCGGAAACCATTTCTGTAGTCAACAAACTGTGTAAGTGACCACCCTCGGAAACTGTTTCTGTTGTCAACAAACTGTGCAAGTGACCACCCTCGGCAACCATTTCTGTAGTCAACAAACTGTGTAAGTGACCACCCTCGGAAACCATTTCTGTCGTCAACAAACTGTGTAAGTGACCACCCTCGTAAACCATTTCTGTAGTAAACAAACTGTGTAAGTGACCACCCTCGTAAACCATTTCTGTCGTCAACAAACTGTGCAAGTGACCACCCTCGTAAACCATTTCTGTCGTCAACAAACTGTGTAAGTGACCACCCTTGTAAACCATTTCTGTAGTCAACAAATTGTGTAAGTGACCACCCTCGTAAACCATTTCTGTAGTCAACAAACTGTGTAAGTGACCACCCTCGTAAACCATTTCTGTCGTCAACAAACTGTGCAAGTGACCACTCTCGTAAACCATTTCTGTCGTCAACAAACTGTAAGTGACCACCCTCGGAAACAATTTCTGTCATCAATAAACCATAAAGAAGACCACTGCTCTATTTAATTTATAAACAGAATTCACTGTTTTCAGCCCTGTGATTGGTTTTAAGTTTTAATTGTTTCAATTGTGACGTCACGCCTAGGACAAGTACATGACGTCACAGACTTACGCACTAGAGTCAAAATGGCGGCTTTTTACATTTCAAGGTTGCGTGAAAATTGTCGTTTTACACGAATAAATGCCACAAATCTTGATTATGTGATAAAAAGGATCATACACTTGTTTTCATTTCATATGAATTTATGAAATTTGTCACAAATTTTTCAATTTAGGTTGCCAGAGATTTGCTAAATAGAAAAATTCTTAAGACTTGTTTCATAAATCACATATGAAATGGAAACTCATGTAAGATCCTATATATCTACTTCCTGAAAACTTTTATATTAAAGTTTATTTAATTTCATTGTCTTTTTAAACTGAAGCAAGATGAGGGGATTAATTGGTTACTAGTTTTAAAGTCACAGTGACCTCGATTTTTCATTGTGGAAAATGTCTTGTGTTCAGGGATAATCTACGAAGCCTATATCTAGAAACTGTTGAAATGCATCCATATAATCTCAAATGGATACACTTGGGAGAGGGCCTAGTAATAATAATAATTTGAGGTTCTTATAAACCGCTCTATCACAACCTAGCTCGTAGGTCGTCTCAAAGCGGTTCACAAATTATTATCCGTGGTTATTGGGCCTTTGCAACCAGCCAATATCTTTCTCAACTCCCTGGGTAGCATACAACCTGTGTGTTCATTTCGGTGCTCACAGCTAGCATTCAACAGTTCTAGTACTGCCCAACCACCTACTCATTTACAGCCGAGTAGACTGGAACAAGCAGAGTAAAGTATCTTGTTCAAAGATACAACACAGTGCTGTGACAAGATTTGAACCCGCAACCCTTCGGTCACGAGCCCGAAGTCCTACCAGTAGATTACCATGCCTCCTATAGTAAGTTGTTAGAATTTATGCCCGATACCTTTGACTGTTCAATGTCAATTAAATATGTTTGGATGAATCTCAAATGTCTGGTTTACTAACTGAAATATTTCAAGAAGCATAGAATCAAAAACAAAAAATTGAAGTTTTTTTGTAAACTTTATTTATTTAACAACAATTATTTCAATAATTGGAGGGTGGTAACTGAACCCCGACCGCCTTGGTGAAAGAAGAGTGTTTATCAACTGCCCACCCGACCACCCAGGGGGTTTAGATGGGATAAGCCGAAATCTTTTTTTTATATGTTTATTTTGTCTTTATAATGGTTGACTTGCTTATCGTCACCCTTGTTTAAATGACAAAATAATCAAAGAGATAAGTGGCTTTATAAAATGTTAACACCATGTAGTCTCTGTTATCACCAAGTTGAAAAAAAAAAAAATGCCATTAATTCATTTCCTGTTTCTTACAGCAATTGATGCATTCATCATTTAAACTTTCAATATTTTTTTCTAAGAACAATCATTTAAACTTTCAATATTTTTTTCTAAGAACAATGATGAATTCCTGAAGGTGTCTCTTAATTCTCATTTTCATCTTTATGCATTTCACATCAAAACATACAGTAGCACAATTGTAGTCAATTTTATCATTGTGGGCTGCCAAAAAATAAACTACCGCTACATACATTTAAGTTAATTTAAAGGGTCAGACATGATAGGCTCCCAACGGCAGGAATTGACTCCTACCCTACCAGCACAATGCCAGGTTTTGGTGTTGGAAGAAAACTGGAGTGCTCAGTGAAAAACCACTGACCTTCTACAAGTACTTTGTCACTCCCCCATGTAGGCCTCAAACCTGCCACCTTAACCACTTGCCCACCGTGGCCCTGAGAGACAAAATATAAGCATTCTAGGTACCGGATATTTCTTAAGTTTGATAAGAAGATGTGACAAGGGTAGGCTACAAAGGTAAAATTAGAAATCCGTCCCAAAATTTAGGGAGCACAGAGTTTGAAATGAAAATAGTTAAAAGCCACAAGAATTCACAGTTCTAAAAATACGTATAGCATGTTAAATTTCTTCATATGTTTACACATAAAAAAATCATAAATGATCCAAGAAAAGATTTTTAAATATTCTAAATGACATATTTAAACCAAGAGAAGACAATAATATTATGGTATGGGGTAAAATCATAAAACCTCAAATTTTAAGATGAGTCTTTTTTATGTACAAACCTTAAAAAGGAAATGACTCCCATTGGTTATAAGTAAACTATTATTGTTAAGACAACTATTTAGGTGTTGGAACAATCAAAGACATGTTGGTTAATATTATAAACTTGTGTGTAGTATAAATATAGTTAATAATTATACCTCAACATTTTCTCAATGGGCTTAATCCTATTTGTCACAAGGAGAACGGATAAAGGACAACGCTATTTTAAAGACAATTCAGAAAGAAAAGGAGGGTGTGGGCGAGACTTATAATGATAAATCCCTGGGGCGAGACTTATATTGATAAATCCCTGGGCGAGACTTATAATGATAAATCCCTGGGCGAGACTTATAATGATAAATCCCTGGGCGAGACTTATAATGATAAATCCCTGAACATGGGGTCTTTGACATGATTATAAATTCATTAATACTAAAACACATTTATTTACAATCTCAACAAATGTGTATCATTGAGCACCCACACATATTGCACTGAATACAACAAGGAATCTCCTAATGATCACTTAACGATTTACATATATTAATTACAGTTAAGGATGGTCCTTCTGTATCTATAAAATATAGGTTACTGATGCTATAAATACACCAGTTCTAAGTATAGGTTACTGATGCTATAAATAGACCAGTTCCAAATATAGGTTACTGATGCTATAAATAGACCAGTTCCAAATATAGGTTACTGATGCTATAAATAGACCAGTTCCAAATAATTAGGTTACTGATGCTATAAATAGACCAGTTCCAACTCTCAACATTAGTTTTCTTTGTGAACACATTGGTTTTCATTGGTCTTACATGCACACAGTCACTAATTCAACCACTGCTGTGCAGGAGTGCGTCTGACAACAATGATTTCTGGGCCATATTTGATTGCAAGAGATCCTAGAGGGATCTTGGCATCAACCATCAAAGGATGTAATGTCATTTATGTTATTTACTACTGTGACAAATATTATTATATCAGAATAGCATGACTACATGTAAAATGCTTACATATTGTTATTCTTAATTCTTTTTTAACAAGGGGAAACATACATGTCGAATTTGAGAAAGATCCCTCCAGTTAACCTACACAAAAAACACCTTTTCTTATATTACCCTACATTATTACCACAACTTGTTTAGATTTGTTCATAGAAACGTGTCTGTGATCAATCACCATCAGCTTTTGGAGGGCTGCTAAACAGACACAGCAATTATTTCCTATGCATGCTTCCATTTATCACACAGTAAAGGTCAGTAAGACATTTACACAGGTCCAAATTTCTTTTCCATGTCTTTGATTTCTCCGGTTTTCTGGATTGTACGCCACTTGTCTTTCAGATTGACATTGGTTCGAAAGGTGCCCAATGCCCGGCGGATATCGGCCCATTTTCCAACACCGAATTCTTGAACAGCCTGGTAAAAGTCCTCCGTTTCCTTGTGGCCCCACATGGTTTTACGGGAGGAGAATGTCGACTCCGTAGGACTGCTTGGTCTCAAAATGGCACTGGGTTTTTTATATGGACTAGGTGCACAGCCATTTTGTTTTTCACCAACCCGTTTTCTTAAAGGTTGTTCTAGGAAGCAAAAAAAAAAGAAAGGAAAAATAATTATATAATTCTGGTCATATCAAACATTTCTGCGAAAGAAGAAAAACATTCACATCAACATGTGTTGTAATTTGATAGCTTGTTCAAGATTCCTATGAAGCAAATCCAACAGTAACAGGGAAATTGGATATTAATCAACTTTTCATTTATTTCTTCCCTAACAAATTGTAATCCAAGAGGCCAAGAGGGCCTGTATCGCTCACCTGGAAATGTTAGCAAAATTGAAGTTAGAATAACATGATGTTACTGGAAGTGTTCATGTATTACATGGTTAGTCAGGGGTTACATTTATTTGCAATTGGACAAAATCTTGTCATTCCTAAAATAAAAGGAGGATTTTGAAGAATTTGCTATGTTTCCCCTATTGGGCCCTGCCCCTCTGTCCTCAGGGGGGTCAGACCCATCGTTGATACAAAATTAGTTCCCCTTCACCCAAGGATGCTTTAGACCAAATATGGACATAATCCTGTCATTCCTACAGAAGAAGAAGGATTTAAAAGCTATTTTTCCTCTTTGGCCCTGCCTTTCTGCCCAAAGGTGGGTCAGACCCACCGTTTATAAAACAAGAGGCCCAAGGTCCTTAGCGGTCACCTGAGTTATACTATAGGCACTGGTAGCTTTATTTTATTGTTTAGATGTGATGTGGAAATCAGCATGTAAACTAAGTGAAATACAATACTTGTCATGTCATCAAAGGATAAGAATTTGAAAATATTGGTAAATGTTCCCTTTGGGGCCCCGCCCTAGCCCCTGGGGATTGGGCAGGAATCCCAATTTTACAAAGTAATACTCTCATTCACCAAAGATGATTCTACCTAGGTTTGAGTAATTTTCAGCTGAAAAAGGATAAAATATATACCCAAAAGTGTTATTTCCCTATATAAACTAAAGTAAACTTTACCCCCTCCCCAAGGGAGTACGGATAGCTCGGGGGTCCTGAAATTTACGATTTAAATAAAGCCCCTGATGATTTTCTTTCCATGCAGAGAAAATGAATGTAGTACCTCTGAGTCAGGAGAAGAAAAATTTGGAAATATTGGTTAATTTCCCCTTTGGAGCCCCGCCCTGGCCCCTAGGGTTGGGGTAGGAATTTCAATTTAACAATTTGTAACCATCTTCCTCCAAGGATAATTCTCACCAAGTAAAAATAATTTCCTACAAAAAGTTGTCAAAATATACCTAAAAGTGTTATTTATTTCCCTATATAAATTATAGTAAACTTTACCCCCTCCCCAAGGGAGAACGAATAGCTGGGAGGGTCCTGAAATTTACAATTTAAGTAAAGCCTCTGATGATTTTTCTTTCCATGCAGAGAAAATGACTAGTAGTACCTCTGAGTCTGGAGAAGAAGATTTTTGAAATATTGGTTAATTTTCCCTTTGGGGCCCCGTCCTGGCCCCAGGAGTTGGGGTAGGAATCTCAATTTTACAATTTTGTAGCCACATCTACCAAGGATGTTTCTGACCAAGTTTGAAAAAAATCAATTTACTGGTTCTTGAGAAGAAGTTGAAATTGTAAAAAGTTTAAGCACGACGACGGACGGAAAGCGATTAGAAAAGGTCACTTGAGCAAAGCTCAGGTGACCTAAACACGGTTCCCCTTCACCCAAAGGTGCTTCATCCCAATTTTAATCAAAATCCTGTCGTTCCTACAGAAGAAGAAGGATTTTGAAAAATTTCCTATATTTCCCCTATTGGGCCCCGCCCCTCGGGCCCAAGGGAGTCCTAACTCACCACTTATACAAAATTGATTTCCCTTCCAAATATGATGCTACTGTTCAAATTTGGTCAAAATACCTTCATCCCAATGATAGAAGAAGGAAATTAAAGCTATTCAGCTATATCCCTTATTGGGCCCCGCCTCTCTGCCCCCAGGGGGGTCAGACCCACTGTTTATGCAAAATTTGTTCGCTTTTAACCCAGGATGCTTCATATCAAATTTAGACAAAATCCTGTCATTCCAGAGAAGAAGAAGGATTTTGATGAATTTGCTGTGTCCCCCTATTGGGCCCTGCTCCTAAGCCCCCAGGGGGGGCCACACTCACAGTTTATAAAAAATTGAGTCCCTTTTGCCCAAGGATGCTCCAGACCAAATTCGGATGAAATCCCTTAATCCATATGGTAGAAGAAGGATTTTAAAGGTTTTACCTCCATTTCCCCTATTGGGCCCTGCCCCCAGGGGGGCCACGACCACTGTTTATACAAAATTGAGTCTCCCTATGCGCCCACACCCACCGGTTAGGGGCCCCTATGCACCCACACCCACCGGTTATACAAAACTGAGTCCCCTTGGCCTAAGGATGCTCCAGACCAAATTTAGTCAAAATCTTCTCAGCCATTCAGGACTAGTAGCGTTTTAAAGGAAAAGTTGACGGACTGACGACGGACTACAGACACTGCGTCATGGAGCTCACTTGTCCTAATGGGCAGGTGAGCTAATAAACGATCATAAAAGTATTGTTGATTTAAAACCAACACCAGCAATAGATGTTTTTTTTTATTTTAACATTTTATACTACCTTCATATTTTTAATATGTATACCAGGGTAACAACATCCTTGATACTCAAGGGGTTATGCTCACTTTTGCTCTCTGCACCCCTGGAATATGTCATAGCAAAATCGAAGGCTCAGTGTGCTGAACCTTTTGGATGTGATGAGGAGACTAATTTGATCCTTTAGTGTATCGGTTAAAGTGACGGGCCTTGAAGTCGGTTGTCGGCTCCTTTTTAATCTTCAAAGGACAAGTATTGGCCTAGCGAACTGTCAGGATTTTTTAATAGCTAGCCCCACGCCTTCAATTTTGCTATGACATATTCCAGGGGTGCACAGAGCGAAAGTGAGCGTAATTCCTGGAGTATCGAGGATGAACCAACAATTGATGGAGGATATTTAAAGGTTTCCTGTTGAGTAACATTTTATACATTTTACGAGTTTGGCAAAATACTGATATTTCTCAAAAGAGAAATATTTTATAGTAATCAGCGAGGACCAAAAAACAACATTTAAGTTGCTATTTATTACATTTTAACCCTTTCACCCCTATATAACTTTAGTAGACTCTACAATGCATTGATCTGGATGAGTCCATTTTGGTCTACAGTGGTGAAAGGGTTAATACTAGCTGGCCAAACTGCTACAGATATATCCAAAACAAAATAAAGGGGAGATTACTGTGTACACGAAAACTTAAGAAAACATTGAATGGTTCAGGTAAGCAAGGTACAAGTGCAGTCCTACCTTCGTCTGAACCAGCTCCATCGTCATCAGAGCTGGCATTGTGTGATTTGTTAACTACATGGCGATCTGGTCGCTTAATATTCTTTCGATAAGAAAATTCCCGGATACCCTTGGGTGACCTACAAAGTAAAATAAAGGTTATTTAAAACACATCTTGCTTGACAAAACAAAATTCATAATCCTTTATAATTTTACTGTTCCTTTTGCAGTTTGTTAAGAATGAAGATATTACCTTGTAGAAATAACCATTTCTTTATGTAGCCATATCAGTAATAATTGTAGATAAAAGTTGAAATTGAGAAAATTCTTCCGTTTACCTTAAAGGACTGAGGTCTAGATCATCGGCATCTGTAAACACAAAAATTGTACATATATCACTAGATACACTACTTTTATGAATGCAAAATTGTACAAGTATACACCAACAGACTTAATTCTGAAGTCTTTAGTAAAATTCCTTCACAAAATCTGCATTACTTAGGCGTTTTTGACTGTTGAAGGATACTTTTGTACAAAGTAAAAAGCTACAGTACATTTTACCCAATATCACGTCTGTTAATGTCACTTTTCGGTTATTATCATGTTTTTTGATGAACCGTTTTTCCTACTATATAATCTATGCAATTCAATTCTTTTATTATCACCTGATTTTATGTCGATTTCTCTTAATATCACTTTATTTTGGCCACTGTCACAAAAAAAATACAGGTAAATGGTGGTAATGATTCATGATAAATGCCCTGGGGACCTTCTGTCACACCCTGGACGCATTATGTAAACAATGCCTCGGCCTAACAGGGTATTTTTTACACCTGGCTGACTGTTAAACAATAGGTTACACCTGGCTGACTGTTAAACAATAGGTTGACTTACATACTTGTTAACATGATATTCACCTGTGGTTGGGGGAGCTAGGACAGTCTAACATCTGTAAACTTTTCTAATGCCAAGTGTGATGTATTCTTTCAACTAATTATAACATGTGTACTATCTTCGATTACACACTTGCAGCAAATATCTAAGGAAATTAACCTATAAAAAGATGTTACTAGCGAAAGAACAGTATATATATCAAGATATAGGTAAATATTTACCAAGTCTCATGTTTACAATTGAATTTGATGCAGAATACCAGCCAAACACTTGTATGCCTACATCACTACTGCAGAAAACAATCATAATTACAATCGTACTGATCGTCATTTTGCTACTAACTATATGAAATGTAACTGCATACTGAAATGAAATACAAATAATATATTCATTTCTATACTTATTTATTTATATCTATATTTCAACTAGGGTAAAGAACATTTCTGATATGAATACATGAACCAATAGATGGAGAGTGCAGGGGAGACATTTATTGAACCACAAATAACAAGAAGATGCTGTCATCGATATCCCCCACTCATAGTGTACAAGTCATATAAAAACAACTTATTGTTGGTCACAAAGTCACTGAAGCGTGAAATGAAGGTTAAATTCAGAATCCGCAAAAATAATCAAAATAGCCACCCCAGATGCAAACATCGGACATGAAAGTATCGAAGGGGAAGTAGTCTTAGTAAGGTATTCCTGGACGAGATCAATTATTCCTGTATAATATACAGATATATATATACCATAATAATTTGTGAACTGCTTTGAGACGACCTACGAACTAGGTTGTGATAAAGCGGTATATAAGAACCCGGAGTTATTATTATTATTATTATCATTATATATGTATGACCAATTTTTCTTAACCAAGTCATTGAAGCGTGAAATGTAGGTTTCACATTTACTTCATCGAGCGGGGGATAATAAACCATGCTCCATTAACACATGACATATATTACCAGAACGGGTTTTTAGACATCTATTAAAATATTTTGGTAAAACTACATACAAACTGTGGATGATTGTCTGATTCTATCTGACTCTGTAGTTTTTAACTGAGGGAGTAAGTGGACAACCACATATTCAGTAAACTTAACAATTTTGTCAGGGCCTTCAGGCTTCTATCAAGTCGGAGGAACCGGTGGACTACATGTGATTATATCTAACTCTGACGGAGTGATCTCCCATTAGAACGGGTACAGGAGTAAACAAAACCTTGCCTGTGATCATAACAAAGTCAATAGTTTATGTGAAAAAGGTCGGGGTTTTTTTTCGTTGAAACTCATATAATCACAAACGATAATGTTCTTTGTAATGTAGAACTGAAATTAATATGCTAGTCGACACTCCATTTCCAATTATATGTAAAAATCTGTAATTTTCACAGTTGACTGCGGCATACCAGTTTTACCCCAATAAGATTTACGATTTCATTCTAGCTGTCCCCACTTAGAAAATGATTGTTGGTATTATTGTAGGCCTTTAAAATGTTATAAATGATTCCCTTGTTGGGATATCACAATATCTTTATATTCCTGGATCAGGATTTTTAGTCTGGGTCCGGGAACAGCATACAAGATTCTCCCCTGACCCGAGAAACCTGATGTTAATAATAGGCTTGGTGATGGGTCACAAAAAAAATTATTGTCCCCCCATCCTACCCAATACATAATTTCTAGAATAGCACAAAAAGAGGTTTTGAACTACTGCCATTGATTATACTTTGGTAGTTAAACTTCTGTAGTTAATATGTGCAATATAGCATATGACCATACTGTGACGTGTTGGGTACTGATATCCACAGTCAAAATACCACCAACAGTTGTAATATCTTGTGAACTGTATACAACAATTGGGTTTCAGTAACAAAACTGTACAATATTGTGCAATGAAAAGGTTTTTGCACCATGAACAAAGGCAGAAAATTAAACACATGATACGAAAAATATATACATTTTATATTAGCAGTTTAGTAAATAGAGAGTTTAACACTGATAAGTTCAAAATGAAAGTATTTGTAAAAAGCAGAATTATTTATATATATGCATACAATCACATTTTATATGACAATGATGAATTAAACAACATGAAAAGTTTTAGACTTATATCTGTTCTGCTCCTTGATCTGTGCATGGAATTAGTTACCTTTACTGTTGGGAACGGGAGAGGAGGTCTTTGGGGGTCGGTGGGGAACTTTCCATGGAGATTTAAAAGCTGAATTATCATTTTCTCTGACCTTCTTTGGCGGCGGTGAAACTTCATCTAACAAGGAATCTACTTCCTGAAAAGAACAAGAGGCCCCATGGGCTTATAGTTCTCCTTAAATAAATTTTTATCTGAGGTACATAAATATGCATTAGAGTTAATAAAATTTAAAGAATAGTTATACCAAGTACGGGAAGTAGTCAAAAAGTACAGACTATGATTGTGAAACTCACCAGCAGCAGCCATAGCGAAATTCTTACATTTTACTAGTTGCAACAAGTTATTTTGAAAAGAAATCATTTTTTTGTGAAGCTACTTGTGCATATCTTATTATCATACAACCAGTGTGTAGTTGAAAAAGTATGTGAATTTTTTATTTTTCAATCTGGAATTGTATCTGTTTTGTAGTTAAATATTCAAACTGGTTTCAATTCTAATATTTTTTTCTCATTTCTAATTTCAACACACTATCAATAAGGATTTTGGAAGCTTGGTGACACACTATCAATAAGGATTTTGGAAGCTTGGTGACATAAATTTGTTGAGAATGAGTTTTATTTGTTATTTCATCCTTTCCTTGTTGTAAACAGGTTTTCCAGATTTTGTGTCTGGTGCACAAGTAAATTCCAAGACTCCATATAAACGTATCTCGGAGTACATGCCAGACATTGAGGAATGGATAGGAAAGAATTCTTCTGGAGTTACAAGCAATTCAAACACTTGAATTACCAGTACTAGAAAAAACTTGAAATTGAATTTCAATGCAAAAAAAACCATTCTTCCCAAACCATTGAAAATATCAAACAAATAGTTTCAACATGAATAATTTGTCACTATCTTGCACCTAAACCCTATATGAATGTTAACACCAACAAGAAGGGTATGAGATGCAAACTTATGGAGTTTTTAGAAATTTGAGTTCTCAGATGAAAAGTAAACGGTGGGGTGGGGGTACAGCAATTGCTCACAGTTACACAGACATGATGAGCTAAAAATAGCGCAGGAAATCATTAGTTACGATATATACTAACGCAGAAAAAAATATCAGCTTATCTAACAAATGTATATTTGTACATTAAGATCTAAGAAGGGAATGAATTAGCCTGTAGGTGTAGAGCACTTACCGTATTTCTTGTGGTCGCGAGCACGCCCCTCATATCACTCTCATCCGCCTGACTCAATGCTAAGCATTGCTGTCCCTTCTCAGTGATCATTCTCTTCGACACCGCTTTCAGCACCATCAGCCGCTTTCTATTAATAGATTATATACAAATATATATTCATGGAGATTTTACTTTGATTATCAAGACTGACTTAACAGTTGTTGTCATACCAATGAGAATTTAACTCATTCACCCCTGAAGTTTCATAATGAACTATTCCAACCTTTGAACTGGAAGAGGTCAAATGTGTCTTCAGGAGTGAATGATTTAAAGAGTGAAAGATTTGACATTTAAAGTATCAATTTCTAATTATCATTTGCTGTTAGTTATTGACAAAATAATTTTCATAAAAAGACCAGAAAATATGTTTCATTTTATTGATAAGAACAGATGTATAGATAATTCTATATGGTATTTATTCTAATAAAATCTCAGTTTTAAAAATAAATTTTCAAGTCTTGTCACAACAACTGTAATATAACAATCCAATCATTAAAATTCTACGTTACTACTTGCCTTTTATATAGCACAACATATAACAAATAAAGCTATATCAATGCAGTAAGATTTAAACTTTTATCAATAGAAAATACTGTCTCAAAATTAGAAAAAATATCTCCAATGCAACAGTTAAAACCAGAACATTTACAAATGACTTTAATTTCAAATTGGATTCATGGAACAAACAATTCTGTTTTAATGTGGTAATGTGCAAAGAAAAAATATATACTAATGATAATAATAATTATTGGAGGTTCTTAAATACCGCTTTATCACAACCTAGGTCGTAGGTCGTCTCAAAGCGGTTCACAAATTATGTAGGAATATATTGGTTAACTGCAGTAACACCTAGTATAAGACATGTACACTGCCCAAGTATATCATATATATGGTTGCCGATGGTGGGCATCTGTACACATGGCCCCGGGATCAGGAGACAATCTTAGACCTAAGTTTTGCTAAGCCAACCACGTATGACGTCACTTTTCGTGACATTTTTTATGAATGACTAAGTCAAAACTTACATGCGGCCCTTGGGTCATGTAACAGTTTTAGTCTTTTTGCTTATAGCCGATCACTTTTTGAGTCGTGACTTAATTTGTGATTGGCTAAGTGAAAACTCAAGACAAAATTTACACATTGTTTCATTATCCTGGGGCCTGATTTGTGTATAGAATAGACCAGAGTAGTGTCTGTGTGACAAGATGGATGACAAAGACTGGCAATACACGTACAATACTGGGATGGAAGTTCCCTACTTTTGCCAATAATTCTTATATAATCGTAAAGAAAGGTTTTCTTTTTATCACCAATTATAACCATGAAAACTGTCCTGCAAAGCAAAGTTCTACATGTATGTATCTACAATTATTCACGTGAACTATATGCACTGTTGACAGCACCAGAGTACCACCTGACTGACCACGACATTGACCTCTTTTACCAGTCTCTCACCTGTTGTTACTTGATTGTTTTGACGGGTCAGCGCTAGGTTCCTTCCTTAACAGTGCATCTCGGCGTTTTTTCTCTTGTCGACTTACTCCAGTAGCTATCTACAAAATTTCAGATCAATACAAGATCTTTTTTATCACATTGGTGGTCAGTGTTTGACCAAAACAAATAGTAAACAAAATTATTATTTATGTAAAAACAATATTAGAAAGAGCACAATATATATTTATTGACCTGGTGGTACGGAAACTTGATTCTTTCTTTTTCCAAAGATTAATCATGTTTCACAAGGTCATAGCCTGAGTGAAAAACACGATTAATCAAGGGGAAACAAATAACTGTGTTTACCTACTGCAAGATCAATAAATATTTTATTACACCGAAATAGTAAAATAACACAACAGTGAAGATGATTTGGCTTCAAAACCATTCATGTCATCAGTTTTAGTCACTCCAAACTCAGGACATTGGCTGTTTTAGCCTAAAGAAAAAACATCCATCTAGTAAGTTTATTGAGAAGATAAAAAAACTCTGCCATTCAGAATTTATGATCTGGACATACATATCACACAGACACTGTCACTACACAGTTTAACCATTAGGGGAATAATATTTACTTTCCCCATCCAGGGGTTAAGACAGAAAAATCTCAATCCACGAGGTAAGACCGTAAGATTCTTAAATGTCTGGCTCCAGGCTTTTCTGAATGCATTTACGATCTTACCCCGAAGCTGGAGATTTTCTGTCTTACTCCCAAAACCATTGATTGCATGGTTTTCCAGCAAAACCAAAGAGTTATCTGCCTTGATCTGGTATTGATGGCATGATGTCGATGAATCGATACAACTGTTATGACAGGGGAATCCCCTCGCCTTTAACCTAGTTAGACTAAAAGATAAAAGACTCTCATATGTATCGGAGGTGGATAGAGAATTCCTCCCGAGGGGATCATAAATTGGGGTAAAACCAGAGGCTTTTACCCTAATTATGATCCCCTCGGGAGGATTTCTCTATCCACCTACCGTTACATATAAAAGAGTATTTTTCTCTCTTATCTACCATTAAAAACCAACTACTTCACCTCTCAATACACACGGGCAATCTTACAGTTTTTCAATACTTTCTCCGTGGTTTAAAAACAAAAACACATTTCCATGATAACTCTATGGTTTAGTTGTTATTCAACTTTCTATTTTCCATTTGGCATTTTCAAAGTGCCATCTTTGAACCCTTATCGCTATACTTACTGTAAATCTCATTTAGTGCGCAGAGAAATATAGTTCCTAGTTGAAAATAGAAAGAAAAAAATGTTTTTGTTGTCAAATTTTTACTTCATGACTGATCATGTAATTAATTAATATAAATGTAATAATCATAGATACAATTAATAAAAACAGAGCCGGGCGAATATTACATGTCCACCGGAGTTGCTCCCCTTAGTTTTTGGTATTACTACGCAATGTGATTAGCCCATGTAAGATAGACTGAGCAAGCCTGGTTATCTTACATGACCGGATATGAGAGAAAGAATATCTTTCCTTGACTGGAAATGTGGATATCTCTGTCCAATGGGTGAGAAAAATAAACAGGTAATACCTATTTAATATGTGAATCGCTGATGTTATAATAAATAGGATGTTTTTTTATTTTATGAGCACACAATTTCATTTTTGCTTTATCAAAAGTCTTTATCAAGCTAACACCTCTACTTCACAAACTTTTAAATTTTACACAATTTCATATTCCTTTATTCCACAACCCTCATACAAGCAATTTCACAGACCTGTGTTCCATGAGTTTCATCAAACTTCTAATTTCAAGCTGTTACTAACCTTTGTGAGAAAGAGAATAACAAACTTCTTATTTTAAGCTGGTACAATCTTTATGAGAAAGAGAATAACAAACTTCTACTCATTCTTAGACAGTACAAACCTTTGTGAGAAAGGGAACATCAAACTCTTTGTTGAATTCCGAGATCATTGCCACACAGTCGGCCACAAACACAGAATAGCTGTTGGATTTACTCGTCACATATTTGTGGTCTTTTGATTTTGATGCAAGAACGGCTTTCAAATTATCTGTAATTGTCTGAAACAGAAAAAGAGAAAAAAACATTTAAAGATCTAACAGCTACTGTAATGTGTAACATAGTACTGAGGATCACTCTCAATTGTTGGTTTTACTTCTGTGTATACATCTGGGTCATTTTTTTTATTATAAAACCATCCTGAAGACAAGAATTCCACGGGAGTGGATGTGTCGCCTGCTCAGCGCTTTTAGTAAGAAAAGTGTTTTCGCTTGAGTTATCACGTAAAAACAGATATGCCAAAACGCGGAAAGTTGAAACTTGACAGAAAAACCTGTAATATACTTTGAACACTATTGCTTCTTTCATTACCCTAGAAAATTTGAAAGGAATTGATTAAAAAATAAAAAAGTTCTTACATTTACTACACAATGCCCATATTTGGCAATAAACGGAGCATAACTCCACCAAAAATGCATGTAAACTTCTGAAATGCGAACATGCCTGAGCTATATTGGTATGCAATAGGTGTACCAAGTTTGAGGCCAATCAACGTAAAGGAACTCAAGTTATCGCATGGAAACCTTGTTTTCGGACGACGCAACTGACGCCGACAAAGTTATACCTATGTCGCCTCGGGTTGCAGACTGATTTGTGTGCAGTTTGTGAACCAACACTTTAACAGGACCTGACATCCTGAATTTACATCCACTGTGACATCAGTATGAAGACATGACATTATGACAATCTGAGGTGGAAGAATAGGCGATGTTCGGGAAAAACATGTTTTCTTAATTTATTCCACACTTTATTTATAATGCCATAAAAGGGACCTAGAGTTTGTATCCATTTTGTTTTCAATTTTTGAGACGGCCTCCCTAGAGTAAGAAATTCAAAACATAGCGTGAATATGTTAAAACCCATTTAAGGTCCCATACTGTATACTATTTTTGGGCGAGTGATAACACAATATGTTTCTACAATGTTGACAGAAATATTGGGTGTAATTTTTTCTAATGGACAAGGTGCTTGAAGTATCAAGAAACATAAAACAAAGAACTTCTTTTAAAAATAATATTGGTTACCTGGATTCTATATATAGCAGCATTGTTATAAAAACGTTCTGATGGAATTTTGCTTTCATTTCCATTATCTGTAACAGACACCGGCAGTCTCCATTTTATGGATGGTGTAGAAATCATTCCAGCTGCTTTGTTGGATATGGTTTAACAGACTATCAACATAGTTAGGTCATTTTGAGCTATTACATGATAAAACTGTTTTAAGGAAATGCATCTGCTACCTAAACAAACACACTCGTTATCTTCAAGTTTCTATCTTGAAGCTTAAGATGCACCACAGAAGTGAGAAGATAATACATGTAGTTGTAAATTTTGAAGGAGTTATCTTTCCTTTAACACTGATTATATCCATTTGATTTCATGAAATCTTATTTGTTTTATTTACAAATTTTTTGTTTATAGATTCTCTGTCAGTGAGGAATATTTTGACAAGATGGGGAAAAATATAACCTTTGATAATTTTACAACAATTATAAAACAATTTAATTCAACTTTTATTAATCCCTATTTATGGCCTGGACGGAAGCGCACAGAGGGTTTTAAAGCGGGAATCTATTCTGCAAAGCTGTTACACATTTCCGACACAAATTGTCTGACAGTACACAAACCTGTTCGCTGTTAAGTGTCATGAACAATGAACATTTTTTTTATTAACTTTTCATGATAATTCATTCACAATGGGAATTCAAGCATGGATTAGATTTTGAAACCGGTATGTATACCCTGGTTGAAAAGTTGTTCCCGTGACAGTCCAAGGAAAACAATACAGCCATAATAACACTTATTGTGTGGACAGACTAAACAACCATACCTTGTCAGTAATCTGATCGGATATTCTTTTAAACACTTCTGCAGCAGCGTCAAAGTCATCTTCTCTACAAGCAACCAGCACTGCCTGAAACAATAACAGCATGACAATATATATACATCAGAATTAATCAGACCACAATGAGTTTCCATGTTGTTTACTTCAATACATGTAGTGGGGGTGTACAATACCACTAGTCGGGACTAGTGAAAATATTTTAATTCTTTACTATGAAACTAGAGGTTGGGCTAGTGAATATGTCAAAATCTTCCTGCTGGCTAGCACTAAAATTAGAAAATTGTTTACAACCATGCACGGTATCTGCGGTTAAGCAAGAGGTTAGAAATCACTCCTGGACGCTAAATATTCCATGTAAACACCTTTATTGGCACGTAATTGTAACTCGACCGACAATTTGTTATAAAGGATTGATGGGTGTACATGTTATATATAATGAATAGAGTGTTTATAATTTTGATTTATTTTGCACCATTTCTGAAACAATATTGATCACATGATTACCCTTATTGATTCATGATCAAATGGAAGTGTGCTGGGTGTCTCTGTGTGGACAGAAGCTGGATGTTTTTTTCTGATAAAAACTCATGTGGTCAGACAGGTGACCTATACACCTTTTTTTTTGTATGTGGTCAAAGAAGCTAGCTGATTTGATGAAAGACGAGTGCACTTTTCCCAACTAAAAAATGAATCTGGTCATTTAAAGTGATTCTTATATTATGAGCCTGCCCATAATTAAAGATGGTGAAAAAATACCTGTTTCGAGATCAAGTCCTTGTTTTTTTCCATCAATGTCTTGTAGGTTTCTGGTAGGTTGTGGGCAAGCCCTTTAAAAGAGACAAGCATATCTTCAAGAACGGTCCAATCATTGTCATCCGAGTATCGCGTTTCATAATTTTCGCCGTCCGTTATTCGGGACATTTGCAGCAAAATTTGGAGCTGCATCATATGTTGTTGGTTAGTTGTCTGAACAACGCTCTGTTGGCTGACCAGCCCTGTGGGGAAACAAATAAAGCAAATATGTATATATATGATTATGAGGCCCACTTTTTTTTGTGTCTGTTTAGGGTTGCATGGGCAAAAAAACAAGGGTAGGTAGGTCAATTTTGTGTGTGTTTGTATATTTTTGTGTACCGTCGTGGGTCATGTGATTATGACCCTACTATTGTATGTAAAACAAAAAAATACATAAACAAGGTTCATTTGGAGGCAAATTATGCTCCATATGCTGACATTTAGCGCCAACACGGAGCTGGATGCCATTTTGAAAGGCAAGGAACCTTCTAAAATCAGCGTGGTTTTTTTTCATTTTTTATTTCATCAAAAAGTTTTGGGTCGGGGGGTAAAAAGCTAGGGTCGGGCGGGAACCCTAAGTAATTAACTTAGTAAAAAAGGCCTAGTAGATAGACAGCATCTAGCAGCAAAGACTTTGAGGACCGAGTGACAGAGATTAAAATATCTCTGACAAATTCACTGGATCAGGGATATACCTCAGTGTCTCAGGGAAGTGACTTTAACCCTTTCACCACTGTAGATCATAATAGACTCATCCTGATCAATGAATGGTAGAGTCTACTATAAGTTACATAGGGGTGAAAGGGTTAAACCAACTTGTTGCTCTTCTGTGCCACTTGTCTCAGACTTGGTGAGCATTTAATTAACATTCAACAGAATCTCATTATACTTTTCTTAGAAAAATTGTAACTCATCTTCAGATCAAATTCCATTTTACTTCATCTATGACAACAATTGCTATTTTTTGGGTTTCCAATTACTCTCATAAGGGGGTATATCAACATTACCTATTACTGACTTTCAACCCTCAAAGTGTTAAATATATGCCACGTTATGGGCCTTGGGGTCAGAATACATGATTTATGCTTGATTCTATTCCCAACATGTCGTGAAAAAAATACAGGCTACTTTATATACAAGAAGCTTTATTCAAAGTCACAATATTAACATGGAACATAGCTCTTAATGTGCTATTATTGCGATTAACTAGATTTTTGTCAAGAGCTAGTGAATTTAATATTAAAGTTTAAATAGCGAATTTTGTCAACCAGGCCAAAACACAATCTAATTCTTAACCCCTCTTTCAGAGGAACAGGATAACATGTGTAAGGTGTCAATATTTTCTAGACATTCAGTGCATACAACTCTCCCCATTTTGGAGAGACTCCCAATTTTGAACCCTAAAATTGAGCATTTTCAACCAGTGAATCTGCTAAACTTTCCCTTTTTTTTAGCTCACCTGCCCGAAGGGCGCGGAGATTCAAAATTGTACAAATGGTTGGGCTGACCCCCCAGAGGGCTGATGGGAGGGTCCAAAAGGGGACATTGCTATATTGCTATTAACAACTTCTTCTGTAGAATTATGTCATGGATATTGATCATATTTGGTCAGAAGCATTCATGGGAGGCAGGGATTCAAAATTGTACAAATGATGGGGCTGACCCCCCCCCCCCCCCCCCCCCCCCGTGCTAAGGGGTGGGGCCAAAAAAAGTTTATTGCTTGGAAATGGTTGAGATCCCCACGGTATAACCATATATACAACTGTGAAGTATAAAGAGACAAAAGTAGTCATGGTATTAGAATAGACCCTGGGGTCTGGCCACAACCCTAGGGAGTCACAGCTCGGAAACAGTTGAGATCCCCACCCCATAACCATACATCAAACTGCTGGGCTTGAAAAATCTAATACAGACATACTACAAGAATTGACATTGGGGTCTGGCATGTTCCCTTGAATCTCATTTGGAGAATATTGTGCCATGATTGCTTAGATATCCAGGTGAGCGATTCAGGCCCTCGACCGGGCCTCTTGTTTCTAAGATATGATGATTATATCTGAAAACAGCTCAAAATATGCCATTTAACATTATTATTTTTTCCCTAGGGTGTACATACACATATTTTGTTTATGCTTTTAATTCTGAGCATGTGAAATCTCCCCCATGGAAATTTGAAGAAGCTGGTAATGAATGCGTACTTTTTTGGCTTGTAGATGTAAACATAGGACCCACATCAAACTGGTTCTGATCACGAGTGATCAGGGATCGATGCCACATTTACTCATAACATAAGCCGCTGGTCGGCTTATTTTTATAGGACATGAATGCAGGTGTTGGACCCACTGATATGATATACAATATTCGTACCAAATTATGATACATAATGTCTGAATGAAAGTATTTTGAAAACATCAGTAGACGCTACATCCTTATCGTTACTGTGCCCATTCAAAGTATTGCAGAAATAAATATAATTACACTGAATAATATCTCTGCAACAGTCTTCATCAATTGACTTTTTCTTCCTGAATGTATCCCACGCTATATGATACACATATTCCAAAAGCCATCCTGTTATTTTGCAGTCTGTTCCCGCCATGGTACCTATTCTGCGACACTTTAAACACAACGGAAGTTGTCGTTGGAAAGCAATTGACGGTCATACGTCCGGACATTAAATTACGGACGAAACATAAATCTCGAGTGAGGCAAATGCATGTACCTGTATTGATTTGATTGGCGGAGGTGCACTCCTTAATAAACCTTTTGCATATAATTTTATAATTTCATGTATGCATATCATGTACATACGGAATTACGTAGTATATTTTTTTTTTATAATTCAGAGTATATTATATATCACAGAACTTGCATGTAGATAGCTTCCGTGATTATATATATACCAGAGACGTATATTCTACGTCTCTGTATAAATAATGCTAGACTAGACCAGACATTTTATTTGCGTTTATATATGTTTAATATATTTACTACAAACCCCTATGGTCTAATATGTATACTATGATAAAAATGCGTTCAACTGAAAGGGCGTAAACTCGTGTAATAAGTATGTTAGACGTCACAGATTGATCCAAGGGCATCAGCATTATATCTATTTAAGTCCGTGACAACATCTCCTACTTACAAACAGTAAAGAGACTGTGAGATTTTCATTTTTCATTTTGTTTTATTTCAGTTTATAAACCAGACAAGTAGTGAAAACATTGGCTTACAAATAAAAATGAGAAGATATCATATAAAACCGCTTATCGCAGATCGCCCTCCTCTCTGTACGTATTTTTTTCAGTTTAACACTCTTTTACTGATATGAGTTAATTTTGTTATTTTGTTTGTTTGCTAGAAACTGGAACCGTTGAACTGAGAACAAAAGATTCAATTTTAAGAGTTTATTTTTTCATTGACTTAATTAGAGACGCGTAGTACTTCTCTACTTAGATATCTAACTGTCGGGGCTTACACAGACAACACTATTACATATAATTTTTTTCTTTATACAATTCAATACTTCAATGATACAAAGCGTTAAAATATTAAATTCTGACGTTACCAGCGGCGGTCTTTACTGACACGGGGTTTTATGAACACACGACTTTTACTGAAACCCGACGTTAGTGACACCTCAATTTACCTTTATCAGGGGTAACAACACCTGACTAAATTGCCGTGTCTTTATTAAGAACTGTCTTTAGTAATATACGGTTTTAACTGACACTTGACGCTAGTGACTCATGAATTCACCGTTATCTGTGGTGAAAACGTGTCTTTACTGACACATGTCTTTAGTGACATAATATTTTAACTGACACTTGACGCTAGTGATTCATGAATTCACCGTTATCTGTGATAAAAACGTGTCTTTACTGACAACTGTCTTTAGTGACATAATATTTCAAATGACACTTGACGCTAGTGACTCATGTACTCACCGTTATCTGTGGTAAAAACATGTCTTTACTGACACCTGTCTCTATTGACATTTGATTTTAACTGGCACTTGACGTAAGTGACACCTAACGTTACTGTTACCCGGGGTTACAACACCTGTCTTTAGTAACATCAGACTTTGTTGACATCTGAATTTACTGACACCTTGACGTTTGTGACACATGACTTAATTAATTAACCGTTACATTTTGGGTTACTACACATGGCTTCATTGACATATCTTAACTGACGTTTGACGTCGGCGAAACCTGACTTATACGTTTCCTGGGGCTACCGATACCTGACTTAACTGACACTTGCCGTTAGTGACACTTGGTACTAGTATTACCGACGTCTGACTTGACCGAAACTTCGCTTTAATGACTCCAAACTTTACATTTTCTTCCAGCCGCCATACTCTGAGCATGGGTAAGAGCATTCTCAAGAAATCTATGAGTATATGCTCAAATTTTGAGCACATGTTTTCCATGAATACGGATTGAGCATGAGAACGAATTCGTTAAGAAGAAAACAGAAAATTTGAGCAAAAAACATAGAGTTTGAGCATTAGAACTGGGTCCAGGACTTTTTGCAAAGTAGAAAGCAAAGGGTATCGGTAAACGGCGAAATGTCAAACATCAGTCATTCCACAGGGATCCGTGCTGGGGCCACTCTTGTTTGTAACCTATATTAGTGAGCTCCCAAAGGTAGTAGACCCCGAAGGTAGTAGACCCCGAAGGTAGTAGACACCGAAGGTAGTAGACCCCAAAGCTAGTAGACCCCGAAGGTAGTAGACTCCGAAGCATACATGTTTGGGGATTATACGAAGGTTTTTAAAATTATTTTCGAGGCGAAAAGACGAGATGACGACAATTTAGATACAAATATAATGTCGTCGGCGAAATAACGAAACAACGACATTTCATAATTTAAAATTTCGACGACAAAAGTCAAGCGAAAAGACGAAATAGTTACGCGATAGGCTTACAACTGTCGTTATTTCGTGTCAAATTGCAGGTCGCGTAATTATTCCGTCTTTTTGCTCGACTTTTTGTCGTGTTTTCGTCTTTTTATCTTTTCGAGGCGATGACGACAATGTAGATACAAATATAATATCGTTATTTCGCCGCGATGTTTTTTCAACCAGCCTCAAATGAAAACACAAACAAGTCGGTCAAGAGAAGGATGCATTTTGTTAAAGAACGACTCCACAGTATTGAATGATATCCAGGAACGATTTGAGGGCAGTATCCCATAATTTGCCACGGACATCTCATAACTTATCCAGGACGGTGCACTTAATATTACATTATTCAAGAGTGAATTGACTCGAAGTACTCTTCAGATGAACATTGTTATTTTTTTTTAATCACAATAACATAATATGTAGTATTTATTATAGCAACTTCTCCTCGAAATTTATAAATCCATAAATTACGTGGTTTTACGCGCCTGTCCTTCTGTTTCAACAGTAGTTTAGACAAGGTGTAATTACATATGTGTGTGTTTCGGTCATGTTATAACGACATCTTGTCGTCTGCGCCTACTCCCATAACAAAAGTTTTGGAAATAAACTGAAAACTAACCAGTTACAAATCAAGGCCATGGTTAAGGTGTGTGCAATATAGCACGTCCAGTTTCTCGATAAGTTAATAGACGAGTGGGGTGAAGATTATACATGTTTACGTTAGTACATGATATTTCTTATTCATTTGGACTCTATCTACAGAATGTCTTTAGACAGTGATGGTGTCTTCATCTCAGTTCAGACTTTCACATGACATTAATGATATAAAGTGATGTTATGACATGGAAAATGAAGGTTACACAGAACACATTCCATTTCATTGGACACAATTATTTTTATATATATGAAGGACAGTAATTTTAAATTTAACATATTTTTATTTGCTAACACACAAAAGAGATCGGGCACAAGTTGTCCGACTTATATAAAACATTTTCCCAATTACATTATATATGTAAACAAGATGGATTTTTAATCAAGTTTAGTGTTACATTGTGAGAAGAGAGAGAAATTTAATGCGAGATCGTGGTAGTGATCTTCTCCGACACAGACGGCACTAGTAACACTGTCCACTATTCATCACACTCAGCTTTTCTAATGTTCATCACTTCCCGTGCCACTGTTGCCAACCCTTGTACATTCCATTCCTTCTGGTATTTTCGTTAGTGACGTTTGTATCGGGGACGACCAGAAATACGACTCTTTAACACTTGTAATAACAATGATCGTCGACTAATTAATTACCAACATAATTAATTAATTTCAAGAAGGTACAAGAACAGTGATGAATAGGAATAAACGAGAGATTACGCAACAGTTGAATAAATGGAAAAGAGAAATATACTTGTACATATAGGTGGGTGCAATTGGCCACTAATGACGTAACAATACGAACAATTTAATAACGTAAGATATTAGGACATGTCAAAATTGGCAAAAAGAACTTGTACTGGAAGGACGGACAATGTCAGACGAGGCTACTACCTGTGGCAAAAGATCGTGACGCTATACAGTACCGTACCGTCATCTATATCTAATAAGCAGTTTGTTCACAACCCATTATACTGAGTAATAAGTTCTTCACGTGAATAACAGGCATTGTTTACAGTAACAATTTCATAACTGAAATTGGGGGAAAATGAAACAAAAAAAACCCACACAAAGTTCTTTTCAACATTAGAATAAATATGGCGCCATTCTTACAAAATATGTCAATTAATACCAAATATAAATAACGCAATTTAATATAATATTATATAACAAAAACAACAGTTATGATGTGTAACTTTTGTTAAAGGATAAAAAAAAACAAACACTTGGAGATTGATTCAATGGCGTGCTTGCAATTATTCTGTAAAGTCGATATTAATGCACAAAAAATCTAATTCTTGTCAAAACGGTCTGAAAGCGATAAACGGCATTGTTAAATTAATTCCTGTCGATCATGTGATATCATTTGAGCTTTGCGGAGCGAGAAGCCGCGGCCGTAATAGATATTGATCTTCAACATTAATTTTCCAATCAAAAAGGTACACAGAACACTTTTCTTAAATTACTTCATATTTGTATAAGAATAAAAACGTTGTAAAAACGTGCTATTATTCAAAACATCAACTTTTGTCTAAATATAGCAATGTACCGTACACGTTAATGCTCGCTATAAATGATCGGGACAAAAAAAACAATGGAAAGAAGATATATTCACGCTTAATTGGTAATCGAATTCTTTGGGAATGCAACGAACGAGTTGATTCCGATTTAATTGGAACTATTTGTCACGGAATTAAGGAATGCCACAAGTAATTAAACACTACTACACACTAGCCGTTAGCACAGGAGGAAAATAACCCCCGAATCAATCGACAGAGCAGATTGCGGGTTTAGGCGCCCTACTCAGAACAGGGATATCTTAACAATGCAGAGTAGAAATCTCCATGAAAACCGTATTTTATTTATAGTTAAGAGTGATAGAGACACGAGTGGAACATTAACACACTTTGAACTTTCTCTTCTGTCCGAGTCTAAATAATGGTCATGCCGTTTGTAAACACAATGCGAACAACATGCACCTTTTTGATTTTTTTCTCTCTCCCCAATGAATCTGTATAAAATAAAGGTTGTGAGAACAAAGAAAGGGTAGATGTCACACATTTAGACGTGCT